TGTGTATTCCTTCCATCTTCTTTTGATGCTTTCTGCATCATTCAATAATTTGCCCAGAGAATCCTTCAATAATGAAAGTTGAGGCTTAAATTTTTTTCTTCAGTTCCCCCAGCTTGAGAAATGCTGAATGTGTTCTCCCCTTTTGATTTTGTAACTCCAGGTCTCTGCACATTTTGTTATATTTGCCTTTGTCTTCTCGAGCTGATCTTTGAAATTTTCTGTTCAGCTCTTGTACCTCCTCCTCATTTCTTCCATTTGCTTTAGCATCTCTACGCTAGAGAGCAAGTTTCAGTGTCTCTTCTGACATCCATTTTGACCTTTTCCTTCTTTCTTGTCTTCCAATAAATATTAGAATATTAGAAAAACATTTTTTCCCTTTGATATTGTAAAAGGTTGATTTGAGGCCCAAACTATTTGATGGATTACTTCCTTTCCAAAACTCTCATGTTTGAATATAAGCCTTACTTATTCTACCTACTACACATCACTGATCTATGTGTGTACAAATGATCCACTTTGATGTTGGTAGCGCCATACTTTTCATGTATAAACGGAAGAAATAAAATCTCTAACACTTCTCCCAAAGAACAGAAGAGACAGTAAATTCTCTCTCACACAGGAATGGAACTCTTTTTTCTTTTCCTCTCAGAATTTCTCTGATGGTGTGATGTTTTATTGTTAGTGTTTTAAACACGTTACATTTTTAAAAATCATCAAACCTTTTTTTTTTTTCCAAAACATAAAAGTAGATAAAAAGAAAAAGCAAGATGATTTTATTCATGGAAAATTTTTTTTCTTCCTTTTGACTTTAAATCACAGTAGAGATGACATCATAAAAGCCCAGGGTGTAAGGTGATGCTTTCTCCAGGTGGAATCGAACCAAGGACAATTAGGGCTTCTTGCCTTAATTTAGGATTCATGAGTGAGTGTTCAAACAGCATTCATTTCAGAAAGGTTATTTATAAGAACAGATGGCGTTTCTTCCTGCGGATTACACCTGTACGCATGTTTACTCCCAAACCGTTTCAAATCTACAAACATTCTTGCAGGCTGACTATTCCTACTGCTCACAAGTCCCCCTCCCTTTCTGGCCCGGAATCCCGCATTCATGTGACTTCTGCATGCTGTGGTTCAATGAAATCCTCTGAAAAGACTGCCAGCTCACCCAATTTTCCATGAATTAGGTCCTGACACTTCAATGAGAAGAAAGACAATGTCTGAAATCCTGCCAGCCCTGGCTCGTAGCCTAGCTGCCCTTCCACACAGCACTTCATACTTTTCAGACCACCAAACAAACAGACCCTTGAATGCTTTCAATGCTGGTTGGGGTTAGGGCTGCTGGGATGTTTTCCCAGCCTCTGGCACCCACTGGCTCCAGAGAGTACTGAGAAAGAAAGTTTTTTTTTTTTTTTTTTTTGGTTGGTGGGAGGAGGGTTGTTGTTGTTATTTTGTTTTGTTTTATTTTTATGAATGGCTTTGGTAGAAAATGCAGACTGAAACATACTACTA